GATCAGTGGCGGCTTATATTGAAGTCGCCTAGCCAGCCGCGGCCAACAACACTGCTTTGAATCCCCCGCGATCAGTTTCCACCAATTGCGGGTGATTCGCAGCGGGCCAATCGCTGCGGCTCACTCAGCCAATCCGAGCACCGTGCGTCCTGGCCAATCAGGACGAGGGGTTACAAGAATGCTAATGAGGCAATACAGAACAGTGGGCATGGCTTAGTTGGCCTCCTGCACCGTGGTGTGTGGGGGGTGTTTTTGCTTTCCCCGGGCTCCGGAGGCTGACCAGGCCACGCCCACCATGGCCATGCCCACCCAGCAATTGGGCAGAGAAACCCTTGCTAAGAGGCTCTTTGGAAGCCAGAAATGGACCCATTTCTGGCCTTTCCAAGTTTCCAGGAGGCCTGTTGTTCGCCCTCCCCAAACCTCATGTGCCGTGCACTTACCTGCATCCCAAATGGCCCAGGTGGGGACTCCTTGGGAGGGAAGGGGAGGGGTGGGCGGGGGCGGGGGCCAGCCAGGAGTGAGATTTGGGGCTTCTACAAACTGCACAGAAACTTAGCTAGGGGCTCTTCCGAACCCCTGCAGACCCCAGCGGCCCACCGCTAAAAATATAAACAATGCATGTGAGAAGGCAATTGGGGGAAACCTTTAGATTCACATGTTTTACTCAAAGGCACCGGCTTTTGTGAATCCTCTCTTCCCCCCAACGTTACGATGAGAAGATGCCGTTTCCGTGGATAGCAATTCCAAAGCCAGCCAACGAAAACACCGCCACCACACCAACAGGGCTTGCAATCCGCACAATCACCCCTCACGCCCAGTTGGTGTGAACTTGGATTCAAGTTTGGGTGGGTGGGTTGGCGTGTCGCAATGCGCTCAAGAAAAATCCGCCGAAGTTGTGAGATTGCCAAAATGTTACCGTGCCAAGGAAGGACGCTTCGGTGACGTTCTGAAAACGGGGCTAATCCTTTTTTTTTTTTTTTTTTTGAGAAGGCTACTTTCTTCAGATCTGAAGACCACAATATGTTTTGGAGCAGACGATGGTTCTCACGCCGCGCCTACCTATGTAGCTCTTTAAAGCAGCTGCATCTTTTCGGGAATCGCACAATGACAGAATCCGGGGAAGAGATGCGGCTGGTTTAAAGGTTTGCCGTTTTAAACGCACTATATTTTGAATCGGCCCGGCTCCCCATTTTAAAGCCTGGTGTTTGATTCAAATTCCTCACTCGAGAAGATTTTTAAGAAGGGGGTCAGTCCGTGACACCTTAATAAAATTGCACTTGGAATTACAGTATTATTAGAATGTGGGGTTGCACACTCCAGATTCGTGTTGGTTGAGGGTTTTGAATTGAACGGTAGGTGATGGATAAGATGCTAAGTAAAGTTTGCGATGATTTTTACAGCAAGGTGCATGTTTTATTTGCAAGATCCTTGACGTTTAGCAACTACAGGTAGTTCTTGACTTACAACAGTTCATTTAGTGACCAAAGGCACTGAAAAAAGCGACTTATGACCACTTTTCACACATATGACCGTTGCAGCATCCCTGTTGAAAATCCACACATTTGGCAATGGACTTGCACTTATGACGGTCGGTCATACAATCCCCCTTTGCGACCTTCTGATAAACGTCAATGGGGAGATCAAATTATCTGTTACTAACGTAACAATGGCAGAGATTCACTGTCATAAACGTGGCAAGAAAAGATGTAAAACAGGGCACTTAGCAAGTTTCTTACTTAGTGACATAAATTCTGGGCTCCGCAACGGTCGTAAGTTGAGGATTACCTGTAAAGTTTCTCCGTGGGCCACTAAAACAGGGCACCTCTGGGTCTTAATCGCACAACTTCATACCTGAATCAAAACAAAAGTGTTTTGGGTTTGTTTGTTTTTAACCCGGCTGCATCTAACAGCCTGATTGGTATTTTAATGGCCTCGTCCTGGAATGTGATTTTTAGCTTTTCAGACTCTTCTGAGGCCGGAATAGACCGGAATGTTTATCCAAGCCCTCCATTTGGTTCAGGCAGCTGTTGGAGAAAGTCCCTGAAATATCTGGCTGAAAAACAGGTGCTAAGGGAAGGAATGGGAAAAATCCAGCTCTATCAAATGGAGCATTTTTTTGTTAGCATTTTTCGGGCGCTGTCTGGGAGCTTTAAAACTGGCTCCTAAAATGCTCAACTCAGATTAATGCATTGTTTTCACCTGCTGTTTTAAGCTTCATCTGGTCTAGCGTAGAATACCGGGGAACAGTTGTGGAAAGGCTTCAGATTTTTATGTGTGTGTTGTGTGCACATTTGCACTTTGAAATGAAGTAGCGTCTATAGCAGCAGCAGATCTGATCGTAGTATGGGGAAATGCAAGCAGAATTTATAGTGCCTTTCAACTGGAACCTAGTTTTTCCTATCCGACTTTAATCGTTCAACATTGCTGAGAATTCTGGTTCTGTTTCAGCAGGACCATCAAATTGAAGGATTCTCCTTCCCCCTACTGTTTCCTGCTGTTTTTGCAAAAAAAAAAAAAATTCAATTTATAAGAAGTTTGTTTGAGTGTTCTTGTCTCTCCAAAAAGCTGGGGTGGGTGGGTGTTGTTTTTGTATTTGTACGTTTTTTTTAAAAAATGACATTTTCACACATTATAGCTCTGTCATCAGTGCAGAAGGGTATGCCTATGTGTAAAAAAAACAACCTTAAAATACAAAATTCCTAAAATACTTTCCAGCTTTTATACATTATTGGTTTGGGTAGAAAGCAAGCAAGCTGGTATGGAGTCCGTATCTGTCTTCTCATCCACAGAGCAAGCAAGCTCCCTCCCTCCCATCGGCTAAGTCTATCAAGCCAGTATTTGGTTTGGGATGGCACAACTATAATGATGCGTTTCCATCAATCACACAGAAATATTTTGATGGGAATTGGCCTAGAAGACAAGAGCCAGCCCAGGGGTGCATTTAAGGTCTCCCCAATGAACCCAGGCCTGAGATGACATCCAAGGACAAGCAAAGCCATGAAGTCAAACATTGTGCATTTTAATATTTTCCAAAGATAAATCATGAACCCCAAAGCCCAACAGTTATCGGAATTTTCTCCCCCACCCCGTTTCCCCGAGCCGCCACCTTGCGTACAAAGGAAACGAAAGAGCAAAACGTTTCTTCTGAAGAGCAGATAACAAAAACTTTGTAGAGTCCCCACCGCCTATCCTAAGCGTGGGGGTGGAACCCCTTAAACCCCCTGGAAGACACTTGTATGATTGGAATGAGGGAGGAAAGGGGAAATTTAGCTGTGGGAAAAGCCAAAACCGCTGTTTTTAATTCTTCTATTTACATTTTGGCTGGCTACGGAGAGCCATGGCAGTTGGACAGCCACGTCAATGGAGAGAAGAGAATTCTCCTTCAATTTGGAAGGGGAGAAGTCACCTGATGACCTCACCTGGACTAGCCAGTAGCTAACCTGGGGGAAACCGACATGGCTGTCTGTGGTTTTTTGCAGTCTCCGTTGTTTCTCCATTCCCTGAGATGGGAAAACGCACCCGTTGTAACAGCGGTTCCATGTCAACTCTGATGGCTGCAAGATCCTGCTTTTATAATTCTCTTGCAGCCAGCGTGGAAGTCTGGGAGACGGGCTGTGTGTCTCAGCAGTCCCCTTAACATGGTTTGTGAATACAAGGAGGCACGGCTGCAGAAGCCTTTACGTGGCTTTTTACTGAAACGGGCTCATGATTAGAAAGAAAAGCCCCCCCCAAAACCTGGCCACTTTAAGACTTGTGGACTTCAACTCCCAGAATTCCCCAGTATGGGGAAGTTGAAGTCCACAAGTTTTAAAATTTCCAATTTTGGAGAGCCCTGCTGTACAGGATAATCCTTGGAAGCTCTGTATTTTTTTAAAGGGGGAGCCAAAAAAGTCTGCAGATAGAAAAACGAACCAATCCTTACTGACCGTCTTTAACATAAAGGCCATTAAATCTTGGAGGGACCTGTGGCTTTCTCTTCAGATCACTCCTTATGCTAGCTCTTCAAGACCAAGCACTGAAAGATTACTATTTCAGTGCATAAAAATATAAGGTGGACTGGGTTCAATGTTGAATAACCGCGCCCAGCACATTATTCTGTTAAGTCCTCTTGAATTTGAGAGCAGAGGAAAAAAAAATAGCCTGTAACTTTAGCGTATTGGAAATGAGGCTCCTATTACTATAAAGTTGAGTTTCTCCTGCCACTTTAAGATGGGTGGACTTCAGCTCCCAGAATCCCCCCAGGAGTTGAGGTCCACCCATCTTTAAAGTGGCCAAGGTTAAGAAACACAGCTATAAAGGAAGACAAGATCCTGGCTACGGAACCAGCATATAGATGCAAATGTTTTAAACAGTAGGAAGACTGTAGAGAAATGGGATTCGGCATAGCCTTCTCCCAATCGGCAAGCTTTTGAGATTGCAACTTACAAATCAATGAGTTGTCCTGGCCACGGTTAAACTACCTCAGGATTCTGGTGCATGGAATTCCAACACACCTGAAAGACTCCAGGTTGTAAGAAGAGGGGATAAAGGCTCGTCTATCTTTATCCAGGCTTCCTAAGGGTTACACTGGTCCCTTTCTCTCCTCCTCTCTCCTTAAAATGTGCCCAACGGTGGAAGCAGAACTCTGTGCAAGCACTAAATTATTTCAAAAGCAATCCTGGTTGTGCAAGTTATCCATTATTCACAGTTGCTCTTGTTGAAGGATAGCCTTAAACGTTAAGTTAGGAGAGAGGTCACTCTGACCTGATTAAAACAATGGATATGGATGTATGCAGAGACACACTTTCCTGTCTTACCATCCTCCAAAATTGATGGTGCTGCTTCCATTTTAGGGACAACAAAAACCCAATTCAGGAATAGCCCTGGAGAAATCAAGATAAAAGCTGTTAATATTCACGTCCTGTGCTCAGCAACGGTATTGAAGAGTCTTCAGTATCAGTTGGATTATGCCAAATCCCCTTCAATCGTGCAGACTTCTTTATCATCAGGGGATTTAAAAAAAAAAAAAGGAATTTCTAGTGGAATTTGACCAGTAAGAGGGGGGGGAAATGCATAGTTGTTTTGAAGCATAACTCCCAACTGCTAAGAACAGAAATTCCTGGGGTGGGGTAGGGACTTTCTCTTAGAGCCCAAAGAAAAGGTGGCGGAGGTGAAATTCAGCACCAGTCTGAATCCTAGAATTGAGCAAGAGGAAAAGAAACGACAGGATCTAAGGAAGAAGGAAGAAAAGACTAGAATAAAAAGAGAAAAGGATGAAACAATTGGATCTTTCCTATCAAAGGAGGCTAGACAAATACTGGACAGCAGCATTTAAGAGAGACATGTGGAGTGTGTCAAGGAAGAACAAGGCACCCTAAGATTGTGTTTCTCAACGGTGGCCATTTTTAGACTGGTGGACTACCAACTCCCAGAGTTCTTTATCCAACATGGCTGGCTGGGGAGGTCTGGGAGTTGAAGTCCTCATGTCAACATGCCCAAGGCAGAGAAATACGGCCTTAAGCAGTCAGTGCTTAGTGTTGGACAGACCTTGGTCAATCCAGCTGTGATCTTTGACCGAGGAGCCAAGGAGTCTAGGCCGTCAATTCCGGCAAGTTGTTGCGTTGGTCCAAGAAATTGACAAGACGCATGGCAATGCCCAACAAGGAACCGAGGACATTCTTCCTTCTTGCCTTCTCACTAAGGCCTTGCTTCGTTCCACAATCAATGTTCCCGAGAATTGTTCCATTTTTACCATTCATCCTCTTGGCGGCGAGTCCTTAAATTCCTAGAGTCGCTCAAATTCAGGAAGAAAACAGGGGCAGCCACATCCTTCTGGCCTTCAAAACAAAACCGTTTTTTTTTAAAGAAAAAAAAAACAAAGCCAAGGAGAATACAGGGTGGCAGAAAAAAAATGACAAAATAATGGTAAGGAGGAAAAAAAAAAAGCACATCAGAGTACCTGATGTAAAAAGTTGCCAATCCCCCCCTTTTTTTTGTGGGAACAACCAGGCAAAAACTGTAGAGTTGGCGTTTCTGGTTTAATTTTCCCATCCTCTACAAGCAGGGAGACCAGTTAAAACGCCCCGGGAATCCTTCTCAGTTTTTGAATCGTGTTTGTTCACAGATGTGATTGAACTTCCTGAAATTAAAAACCCAAGAAGAGAAAAAGTTAGTTGGGGTTTTGGGTTGTTGTTTTTTTTGAATGTCACATGAAAGAGATTTTCAACAACGAAGAGCAGCTTGGCTTCCTAATTAATACCCCGGGACCTCCAAATATTTGGCACCTCTTAATTCGTTCCTTCAGTTCTAGACCCATTCTGAGCTCGGAATAATTTTGCTAAAACTGGAACAGCTGAAAATATTTTGCATACCACTCCTAGCGATTCTGGGTTGAATATCTACAGTCTGCAACAGCCAGGACAGTCTGCCAAGAGCTGCCAATAAATTTGATAGACGAGAAGAGAGAGAGAGGAGGGGGGATAGAGATAGGTAGGTAGGTAGGTAGGTAGGTAGATAGATAGACAGACAGACAGACAGACAGACAGACAGACAGACAGACAGATAGATAGATGAATAGAATAGAATAGATAGATGATAGACGATAGATATAGATAATATGATATAGAAGATAGATGATAGAGGAGATAGAGATAGATGATATAATTAGGATGGATAGAAAGAAAGATAGATGATATAGAAGATAGATGATAAAGATTAGATAGACAGACAGACAGATAGATAGACAGACAGACAGACAGACAGACAGACAGATAGATAGAAATAGAGATAGAGGAATTAGGATGAATAGAGGATATAGAAGATGAATGATAGAGAGGATAGAGATAAAAGATAGAGGGGATAGAAGTAGAAGATATATTTAGGATGGGTAGAAAGAAAGAAAGATGATATAGAAGATAGATGATAGAAGGGATAGGGATTAGATAGATAGATAGATAGATAGATAGATAGATAGATAGATAGAGATAATTAGGATGGATAGAAAGAAAGAAATGATAAAGATAGGTGATAGAGGGGATAGAGATAGATGATATAGATAAATTAGGATGGATAGAAAGAAAAATGATATAGAAGATAGACGATAGAGGGGATAGTGATAGATGATAGAGAGAGAAAGAGAAGAGAGTTTAGGATGGATAGAAAGAGATAGATAGATAGATAGATAGATAGATAGATAGATAGATAGATAGATAGATAGATAGATAGAGGAATTTAGGTACTAGACAGATAGACAGAAGAGAGATAAGCTTCACTCCATGCCCATCTATTTAATAAATTTGATAAATAAAATCTACTGATTTCAGGTGGATAAACAGATCAGCAACAGAATTCTATTCGGTCCAGACGAGAAAATTTTATCTCTTTTGCGCCTGCAAACTCTGAGCTTGAGAAGAGGCTCACTCACATAGCATGGTGGGCTTTCACCTGAGTACGACAGTTGCGACCCCAGTAACAGTCGGGACGGGATGTGATGGTGGCTGCAAGACAAAACAAACAAAAAACAAAAAAAAATCCCCCACAGAGTTCATACATGGCTGAGACCGATAAAAAAAACGCCCCCCAGGGGGAATGTGATCTTTGGTGGACTTGTGATAAAAGTAAAATAAGATCGGGGCCCAGATTTATTTGCAGGAGGTTCTCGAATGGAATCTCAAACGGAAACCAGAGATTTCTCTTTCAAGGACTACTGAACAAGGAACTTGGAAAAAAACAATCTGGAACGAGTTATGGGATATTGTTGACCACAGCAAGGGTTCTGCATGTGCAAAAAATGGGAAGGTGTGCTACAGCTGGTCCTTGATTTATAACCAGCAGCCGTCCCAAAGTTAAAACCCTGAAAAGCTTAAAGCTTACATCCCTGCATCCATGTGGAGAATGGGTAGTTGGGATAGACAAAATAAACTAAAACAAAACATTAAATAAAATGAATAGAATGGCGTTGGGGGAAAAAAAGGGGGGACTTACAAATAGGTCCTCGCGTTTGTGACCATAATAGCGTCCAACTCAATCAGAATAGAGATGGAAGGGACCGCAGAGGTCTTCTAGTCAACCCCCCCTGCTTAAGCAGGAGCTTCTTCAGCTCTGACAGGATAGAAAGTCCAGTTGCCCCCAGAAAGGGCACCTTTGGGACAGCCAGGGACTGGATGACTGAGAATCTCTAAAGACTTTTAGCTACAAAATTTGGGATGAACACCCTTTCAATGGTGTGGGAGTAGGAATGGATGTCCAGGGGGAAAAAGAATTGCAGACTACAGGAACCTTTTGCACCACTCGGGTGACCCTGAGGACACAGATAAACCCTCCAAGTGGCCTCAAGGACCCTCTAAAAGGATGTAAAGGACCAACTGCAAATGATCAAATATAAATCCTTCCCTTCCCCACCATCCAAGAAGCTTCTTGGATGAGAAGCAAAACATCTTCAAAGGAAAAATCCAGTTGCCTTTTGGAAAAAAAAAAAAAAATCACCTCTGGGCCAACCACGAGCGGGAGGACAGAGAATCTCTACAAACTTTTCTTTCTTTCGTCCTCTTCTTTTCCACACTTTTCCCTTTCCTGTTTTTCTTACTATTTGCTTTTGTATTATAATTATTATTATTTTGTTGGTATGTAATATCATAAAAAAAAGAAAGACTCCATCGCTCTGTGAGGGCCTCGCTCGTTCTCCTCCTACCTGGCAATTCTGGAACAGGAATAATCTGCCTGTACTGATAAGCGAGTTCTCGGAAAGTCCGCAGGCCGCAAAAATAACAGATCACTGTTTCTCCCGTGATTCGGTAATCTGAAAGGAGAAAATTGAGGATATTCTTTTGAGGAAGCCTGGCGAATAAAAGGATTATTGATATATTGGTAAGAAAAGTATTCACTGTAATTGTAAGTACATGAAATGTTTACCTAGTCGACACACGGTTGGAATGGAATGGAATTATTGTATATATAAAATTGAAAAAAAAAAAACTTTTTTGAAAAGGAAAGAAAGATTTACCTGATAAAATAAAAGTTCCTTTTTGAAGAGCCAGGAGGCTTTCATTCAGCATGTCTTTCCATGTCATCCCCCTAGATTGCAAGTAATCCTAGAAGAGAAGACAGGTTAAAATTAAAACTGTTCAAAAGAACTTCAAGTGGAGATTTGAAACTCCTTGGGAACATGCGAGAATAAAAGTGACCATCCCTAAAACAACAGAGTGGAGCTCGGGCGTTTTTTTTGTTTTTTGTTTTACAAAATGCTTATCTCAAAAAAACAACCCCCAAATTATCACCCTCAACCTTTTGCAAACTTGCCCATACCTTTAGAATATCTGATTCATAGTTATTGCCGTTAAGAACGCCGTCTAAACACTTGTCCCCAAGATTGAGTTCTGTTTAAAAAGGAAAAGGAAAAGAACATTTTGAGCACCCTGAAGAGGCTTGCAAGGTGTTTTACTGAATTAGGCAGGAGCTCTTAGGACTGAGCTGCAGTTTTCCCAAAGCAGATGCCGCCGGTGTATATTATAGCAATAGCACTTAGACTTATATATCGCTTTATAGTGCTTTAAAGCCCTCTCTAAGCCGTTTATAATGTCAGCCTATGGCCCCCAACCATCTGGGTCCTCATTTTATCCACCTCGGGAGGATGGAAGGCCGAGTCAACCTTGAGCCTGGTGGGATTTGAACTGCCAAATTGCAGTAGGAGTAGCTTGCAGTATTGCACTGCGCCACCAAGGCTCTATCCTATATTTTATATATATATTAATATATTTTATATATTTATTCATATATATATATTAATATATTCATATATATATTCATATATTTTATACACACACACACACACACACACACACACACACATATAAAATTCAGTTTTGTTCGGGTATTTTCCCATGTCATTGAAGTTTTGCTTTTAAAGTTGTAGCAATGTTTCGGCAGAATCTCATCTGCCATCATCAGGCTTCTGTATAGTGAATTGTATTGTATTGTATTGTGTATATTAAGGAACAGGGATTCTATTTACTTCATTTAGCCAGTTTTTATTTGTGGTAAAAACTTATTCGTGGAAGCTAACTGCCTCTTTGTTGTGGTTAGCTGGCAGCAGGTGTGGACGGCTGAGGGGAGCGAGGACTCAGATGAGGGGCCAGGACCATCAAGGAGTGGACTGCTGCCTTCAGAGATTGTGGGGGCCGGCAGCAGCAATGAGGAGGTTCCCGAGGAGCCTGTGCCAAGTGCGTGTGAGCACAGGATTGCTTGCAGGAAAGAGCAGCTGCAACAGCACGGGCGATTCGGGAGTAAGGCTGCAAGGTAATGGCCCCTCCTTCAAGAAGATAAAAGCCAGCTGTGAAGCGAACGTTCTTTGCAGGAAGCAAAGACGTTTTTAAACTCAGCCTCGTGGACATTACAGTATCTTAATTTGGTATTTGAAGACTCTTGTGTTGTGAAATATTTCTTATCTGTGATTCTTGGTAGCCTCGCACAGTTTTGGCGAGGTTTGTGCTTATCAATGTTCATTAGTTTGCAGCAGCCTTTTAACCGGGGATTCGTAAGACTCGTTAAAAGGTTTCTGTTCCCTTTGGTTCGTGTTTGTCTTACTGGAAAAGGGTTTGGTCAGAATGCTCTTGCAAAAGGCAGGCTTGCACCCCTAGGAGCGGAAGAATATCATAAGTGCCAATAAATTTCAACAGTTTGTGGTTTTTGCAAGTGGGGGAAGAGGGGGTGATTGCAAACAAGATCATACCACAGAATGGGGCTAAACAGCCCAGGCAGGATACGCGCACACATCCCCAGTACAGATGGCAGAAGGATTGCAGACAAATGGTACCTGTGAGCACGGAAAAGAAAAATATATAGATATCCTACTGGCACAATTCCCCCACCCACCCGGACTGAAAATATATTCAGTCATCAACATTTTTAGGTGGAACTAGAACTCGCAGTCTCCTGGTGATTGGCCCAGTATCACCTAGTCAGTTTTCATGCCTAAGGCAGGACTGGAACCAGAGGTGCTGAATTCAGCTGGTTCTGACCGGTTCTGGAGAACTGGTAGCAGAAATTTTGAGTAGTTTGGAGAACCGGCAAATCCCACCTCTGACTGGCCCCGCTCCCATCTATTCTCTGCCTCCCATCGAGTCCCAGCTGCTCAGCTGGGTCTTCTTTGGTTGCCCTGCCCAGGAGAATGGAGCTGGAAAGCAGGTTAGCATCAGGGCTCCGGCAGTTACTCCAATTAAATCATGAGCCTCGAGCCACACTCCCAAAACGAAAGAGGATTTATTTGAAGCTGCCATTCTACGTCCGGCACTAACCTGGGCGTAGCCAACTCCGAGATACATCATTCACTGCCGCCCTTGATCCTGCTTTTCCCCCCCGGCCCCTCTGGGTGTATCGCCCAACGAAAAACGTCCACAGCCAAGAGTCATCAATCATGTTCTCCAATTAGATTTTTTTTCGTGGCAGAACCTTTAGCTATCTAATCCATCTAGAGTTGACAGTTAGTGGGGTGGGGAAGAGAATGGGGATTTTGCAGGATCCTTCCCCTGCCCTGCCCACCAAGCCACGCCCACTGAGCCACGCCCACAGAACCACCAGTAAAAAAATTAGAATCCCACCACTGACCGGAATTCACCATCTCCTGGGGGATTGGCCCACAGTCACCCAACTGGCTTTTACTATGGCTAAGGCGGGACTAGAACCCACCATCCTTGGCTTTCCAGCCTGGTGCCTTAACCCCTAGACCTGGCTCTAACTAAAGATCTGACCACGGATGGAGTAGGAAGCGGGAGAAAAATGGCTTCTAGGAAGTTGGGCTGGCCAGCCATGGCGGTGTTCAAGACATCCGCTTCTCCTTCCATCGCTGGTCAGGTTGAAAGGCCCAAATGTCCCCCAGGAAAGCTCTCTTGCTTACACTGCTGTGGGGCGATGTTCGGGTTCTGTTCCCTTTCCGCTCTACGATCCGGCATGGGCTGGAAACAGCAAGTGCAGAAGATGTGGCTCCCTTGAGCTGGACAGACATATTCCTGGACTGCTGTGGGAGGAGAAATGACCACGAACAGGTTGTGCAAAACGGTTTCAGATCCAGCCGCTGATAAGCATTTCGCATCACATAGATTATCAGAGTTGGAAGGGACCTTGTGGGTCATCTGGTCCAACCCCCCGCCCAAGCAGGATGTCATGCCCCCATCAAAGTCTGAATCCGAGGAGGAAGACGAACAGCTGACAGGGAGCAGGAGAGTGGCTCCGTTGGCTGTGGAGGAAACCAAAGAGGAAGGGCAAAGTCAGGCTGGGCAGAGCAGGGGAGAGGTAGAACAAGGGAGAGGGGGTTCGGAGGAAGACCCAGGCCCACTCCCTCTTCATCCTAGGGCACGCAGGGAAGAACGAAGAAGGGAGCAATGTGGGTTGCATGGCTTACGAGGGAGGAGAGGGCCCTGATTCCCTTCACAAGGCACACCTGGGAATGGAGTTTAAAGGAGAGTCAAACACCTAGTGTTGGCTGCTGTTATCTGAGTTCCTGGCATCCTCCCAACTGGTTTGATTTACTGCCGTGTTACTTCACTTCTGGAACTCCTTATCTTGTTCTGCGGGATTTATTACCTTATCTTGCCTTGTTGGATTTGTAATTTGAAGTTTTCTGTTTACAACGTTCGGACTGAAGTATCTGCAGCCAAAGGCTGTTGCAGGTTAGTGGGTAAGTTTTTCTCCAGACCGGAGAGTAACCGGAACGTTGGGGGCAAAGTTGGAGCTAATAAAGGAACTCATACTTATTTATCTGGCTATGTTGCCTTTGTGCCACCCCCCCACCCCCCACACAGGAGACCCTACACCATTCCTGACAAATGGCATCCAATCTCCCCTTGAAAGCCTCCAGTGCTGAAGCTCCCAAGTTAGACTTGCCTCGCTGTTGCAGAAAGCTCACCTCCATTCTCTACTTCCAATGACTATTTCCAAGGATTGTGTGCAGCATTGGAGCACACAAATGCACACCAGCACAGCGCAATGTCAGAAATATTATGCAAAGTCAGAACAAACAGCACTAATTCATGTTTGAATGGTGCACCCAGTAGAAAAACCAGGATTTTTTCAGGGAAGCCAAGATCTTGGTATGCTTGTCAGAAATGCACAAGCCCCACCTCACCTTTCCAACCCCAGAAGAATACCTGGATGCTCTCACCTGTTGGGAAGCTGGAAGAAGTCGATGGGGAATCTCCAGGAACCTGCCCAGGTGCTGCATTTCCTTCCTGCTCGGGAAAGGTTAAAGGCAGGACGGTTTGCCGACGATAACCAGGACATTGCCGGCATAGGACATATGGCTGACTGCAAAAAAAAAAAAAGGAAAGTCACGTTCATGAAACTGACGAGGTAATTGCCACAAACTAAATTCTGATTCAGCCCAAATAGCCTCCAGTTGCCATTTGAGATTTGAGAACATCAGCCCGGTGTCAACTGAAGCTGGCCTGACTGAGGAGCCATCTTGGAGGCTTCAGTGTGTGCCACAACGGTGCTGAAGGATCAGGAGGCGGGGAAGACAGAGAGCTGGGGCTTTGTAGGCAAAACAAAACAGTTTCCCCTGAGAACCAAGGACATTCCCCCACAGGTGGCTGAAAAGAGGAGTCAAGTTTCCAAGCAACTGGACAGCACCTTGACTGGACCGTGGGACTGACTGACTGGGAAAGTGGGAATAACATTTACTTTTAATTAGGTGAAAAGCGCGGGAAACTTTAGAGTCGGTTTTCACCAGTCTGTGCCAATATGATCTCTTCAAATAAAACTGTGAGGAATCTACCTGCCTCGGAGTTCTGTTTGCTATGGGTGTTATTACCTGGAATGCGGACACCTGGGTTTTAAGGCTTTAACCAACTGAGACATATCCGCTACCCACATGATCTTTTTACCTAATATCAGAGGATTCACTGTCTACATCCGACAGATCCAGCAGGTCTTCTGAACTTCCTTCTTCATCTGAAAAGGACCTTCGCACCTTCGGCTGTAGCATGTCCTGAGTGATTTTGTTCCGGGCATCCATACTTCTAATATCTTCTTCGTTACGACACTTATCTAGAAAGATAAGAAAGAGACTTTTGTTATGGTCAAGATGCAGGCCAGAGAACTAACTGTTGCTTAGTCCCAAAGGTGCTTTTCGAAAAGGCAACTGGACTTTTGGTTTTTCCCTGAAGACGTTTTGCTTCTCATCCAAGAAGCTTCTTCGGTTTCTGACTGAAGGGTGGAAGATGGAAGGATTTATATTCCTTGCAGTCATCTGGTCATTAGTACTCTTCCTGAGGGCCGTTGGGGCTACTTGGAGGTTGTCTTCAGGGTCACCTGAATAGTACAAATGGGTGTGGAAACGTCTTGGAACTGCTGAAAGGACTGTGTTGTAAATGCAGAAGGCTCCACACCCATTTGCACTACTCAGGCAATTCTGAAAACACAGACAAATCTCCAAGTGGCCTCAATAACTCTCTAAAAGAATGCAAATGACTAGAATCTCTGTGTCAGATATAGATGGACCTTTAGCTATATAGTTTGGGATGAACCCCCTTTGGATGGTGTGGGAGTAAGAATGGATTTCCAGAGAAATAATTACCGACAACAGGAACCAGGAGCACTACTCATGGGACCTTGAAGACACGAACAAACCTCCAAGTGGCCTCAAGGACCCTCTAAAAGGATGCAAATGACTAGCTGTCTGCAAGGAATATCAATCCTTCCGTTCCCCATCATCCAGCCAGAGCTGAAGAAGCTTCTCGGATGAGAAGCAAAACATCTTCAAAGAAAAATAAGAAAGTCCAGTTGCCTCTTGAAAAAAAAAGCACTTTGGGGCCAACCGTGACCTGGATGACCGAGAACCTCCATAGACCACTGTCGCTTTGGATCTCAATGGCACTTCCTTGGGATTAAGTCCCAAAGCAGTTGAGCAATGTTCTGGTTTCGTGACCATTCGACGTTACAACAGCACTGAAAAAGTGGACTTACGACCATTTTTCACACTTACGACCACTGCAGCACCCCCAATCGTCCCGTGATCAAAACTCAGGTGCTTGGCAACTGACTCATATTTATGACCTGGGGTCATTTGATCACTTGCGACCTTCTTACGAACAAAATCAACGGGAAAGCCAGGTTCACTTAACGACGTTGCTTAACCTAACCACAATGATTCACTTCACAAAATGTGGTGAGAAAAAAATCGTAAAATGGGGAGCAAACCTCACTTAACAAATTTCTCAGAAAGTTTTTTTGGGGGGTGGGGGGAAGGGCTCAATTGTGGTCGTAACTCACGGACTACCTGTAGTCCATTCCCAAAGTATTCCCAATTTTCCTTTTTAAAAAAACGGACCCAGAGTGCCAATTATTGGGTTCATCGTTCGTCCACCCATCACCCTACATCCAAGCAATGTTGAATCGTTAACGACGAAAAAAAAATAAATAACCCGACTATTGTTAACGGCAAGAACGCTTGCAGAGATTCCACCTTCCTCACGTGCCTGGGTGTTGGATGAGATAGGCTTCTACCAAGTTGTTCAAAATGTGGTTTTTACAGATCCGTTCCACAGGACAGCGGCATGTCGGACAGAGGGAAGATCGCTCCATCCACCCTGAGTAGCAAGCAGCGCAGAAAGTGTGCATACAGGGCTGCAAACTAAAAACAGGAAGATATGGGGGCGGGGGGGGGAAGAAAAAGATGAATTGAAGGAGGACCTGATTGGTCAACAGTCTAATCCTTGCTGATCCAGTTCTACAGAGGAATGACTGAGTCTGTCATCTGCCCCTCTATAACAGTCTGGTTTGGTCTGCAACCTAACAGGACAGACACAGACTCCAGAGAGGAATTAGGACTGCAGACAAAAACAATGGCTACCAACCCGCCTTCCATTTCAGTCCTTGTATACCGCACGAGTCAAAAAGAGGGCTGTGAAAATATCTACAGACCCCACACATCTTGGACATATAAACTGTTTCAACTCCTTCCCTCAAAATGACACTATAGAGCGCTGCACACCAGAACAACTAGACACAAGGGGAGTTTTTTCCCCCGAAAGCCATCACTCTGCTAAACAACTAATTTCCTCAACACTGCCCAATTATTTACTAAGTCTGCATTACTATTATTATCAATCCTCTCATCGTTCCTATCGCCTCTCACCTCCCACTTGTGATTGTATGACTGTAACTTTGTCGCTTGTATCCTAACAATTTTTATTGACTATTTCTTTGTATGATTTGATTGCTTATTATACGCTATGACTATCATTAAGCGTTGTACCTGATGCTTCTTGACAAATGTATCTTTTCTTTTATGTACAATGAGAGCTTATGCACCAAGACAAATTCCTTGTGTGTCCAATCACACTTGGCCCATAAAGTCAGTCAGTCTGTCTGTGTCTGTCTGTCTGTCTGTCTGCCTTGGGAGACAGGAAGAAAATTTGCTGCCTCAGCTAGAAGACCGCTGTTTGTCTCCAAAGGTCATCCCTGTACACCATCAAAGCAAATCACCTATATTACAAAATTCAACTTTTTAACAAAAATTTGGGAAGTTAGCATTCACCGCTGATTCACATGTTAATCAAGGTTCACCTCATGGCCATGTATAATGGCTGTGCATCTAATTCTCACAATCAAAACACACGCATGGTTGAGAAGGTCTGGAACTTTGTCTTGTCCCAATCCATTTCAACTGGTGGCATCTTGGCCCAACACTTTAACCCACTACACCACACTGGCTCTCATGACGCGGATGACGTATAATTACGTGGTCGACCAGGAATGCCCACTGCATTGTCCACTGAAATGGGAAACTGATTGGCTGAGCCAGAAGGCCTGTTTCAGAATGTTCCATGGCTCATGCATGGAACTGACGCAACAAGGGAGAAGGGCTATGAAGTAGCCACAGAGCAAAGGAGCATTGGAACCCTTGGGTGGGAAAGTGGAGCTTGGGGGGAAAAAAAAGGCCCTACAGAAAGTGAGGCGAGGAACCTTAAGGGAGCGAAAAGCAGAAGGATTAAGGACCTCAACTGGACATATAGTCCAAGGGAAGAAAGAGAGGGATAACTGCCGATAGGATGGGAGTCCTCAAGGAGAAGAAAGAGTCAAAACAACCTGTGTGTGCAAATTTTAAACCTTGATTGGAAATTGAGAAGTTGTAGCATTCCAAATATGCCTGGGCTACTACCCCTAGCAGTCTTCTCCATTCAGCCTGCTTCTTCCAGACTCTGTGAGTGGTTCAGCAACGTTCAGAAATCACAGGTTGTTTTGCTTTAGACCTCAGTAAGCAGCATTTGGCTTCCTAAGCATTATGGTCACTAGGTGACTCACAGGTCCCTCCCAAGAAACATGAGTTTCACTTCTTGAGTTGAATCAACTCAACGCAACTCAATGCTTCTTGAGTTGAATCAACTCAACACATCTTCAGTTGAACCGACTCAACACTTCTCAAGATGTATCAACTCAATGCATCTTGAGTTGAATCAACTCAACACTGCTTGAGTTGAACCAACATTTGGCTCTTGGGCTTCAAGACGAAAATAGAGACAGGAGGGCAACCTTGTCTATTCTCAATACCATTCAATGGCTACACAGGTGAGGTATAACCAAGGTTCTCAACTGTCCTCCTGACAAAGACTACTTCTCTTTGAAGTTCTACTGGGGCGAAGCTGAGCTAGTTCAACCCTTTCCCTCCATCCAACCTTCTTCGCTTTATTTTTTTCCACCAGACATACTTTCTCCAGCTCATATGGATTTTTCTCTTTTCTTTTGGTCAACCTATGATCACCGTCCATCCATCTATACCTGACACAGTCATAAAGCAGTTCCTGGCAGATGATGCAGCTTAAGCTTTCTCCCATTTTGTCAGGCTTCATGGTTGCTGATTTGGCATCTCTGGGGTCAGGTCCCATCGCGTGTCCCTCTGGGGTGACCACCTGAAGGGCAGAGCTGGCTTCACCATCTGCAAGAGAGGTTCTTATGTCACATTGGGGAAGGCATGTAGAGGAAAGACAGCATGGAACCCAACACATTGTTGCTCAACAATCAAAAGGGGTTGAGTGTTGGCCACAGAAATGAGGGCAGCTCTTTAATGTTCACGTTCCCGGATTAATCAATGGAATAGCTTGTCTTCCAGATCTGTGGGGGCTCATAATTGGAGATTGTTCAAAATAGACTGGAAAACCATTTGACCGGGATGGTATAAGGTCTCCTGCCTTGAGCAGAACGTTGGGCTAGAAGACCTCCAAGATCCCAATGATTCTATGTTCCATGTTCTAAGGGTTGTGATCTTAGCTGCTGCTCAGAAGGTATCAAATCTCTCTCTCTGCAGAACTCAAAAATACTTCGTCCTATATACCAACCTCTTCTGATTTTCTTTCTAACGGGGTAGGGTAAATCATTTCCTTCCCTTCCCGAAAGCTGGAACATGGCTGTTTTCTCCGGGTCCCTCAAAGAAGCACCAGATGTTTCTGTATTTACAACAGGCTGACTGAGTTGAAGCAATGTCTCTGGTCCGGATGGTACCAATTTGATCAAAGCGGGTGCAAAAATTAAGGTGCAAGGCTGTGGTCCTGCAATCACGGAAAGAATTGAGGATCATGGTGAAGGATCTTTGGACACAACCAAATACTCTGGGGAGCAGGGGTCTCCACGCTTGACCACAATAAGGCTTCTGGGCTTCCAATCCCAGAATCCCCCAGTCAGCATTCTGGGAGCTGAAGCCCCTCCCATTTAGAGACCCCTGCTCTGGAGGAAGAGTTCCCTTTCTCTACTTTCTGAGCCAATCCCAACGGTGCTTTTTCAGGAGGCAACTGGACTTTGTTTTTTCTTTGAAGATGTTTTGCTTCTCCTCCAAGAAGCTTTTTCAGCTCTGACAGAACAGTGAGGAATGGAAGGATGAAGCCCCTTGGAATGGCGTGGAATGGATTTCCAGAGAAAAAAGATTGCAGACTACAGGAACAAGGAGCACCACTCAGGTGACCCTGAGGACACTGATAAACCTCCAAGTGGCCTCAGGAACTCTCTAAAAGGATGCCAATGACCCGCTGTCAGCAAGGAACATAAATCCTTCCATTTCCCGCCACCCCCCCCACATCCAGTCAGAGGTGAAGAAGCTTCTTTGATGAAAAGCAAAACGTCTTCAAAAGGAAAACAAGCCCAGTTGCCTCCTGAAAAAGCACCTTTGGGACAACTATGACCTGGATGACGGAGAATCTCTACAGACTTTTAGCTATACAGTTTGGGGTGAACACCGTTTGAATGGTGTGGGAGTAGGAACAGATTTCCAGAGGACAAAAATTGCAGACTACAGGAACAAGGAGCACCACTCAGGTGACCCCGAGGACACTGATAAACCTCCAAGTGGCCTCAAGAACTCTCTAAAAGGATGCAAATGACCATCTTTGGGACAACCATGACCTGGATGACGGAGAATCTCTACAGACTTCCCAAGCCAATCTTTGCCTTTCCATCCCTTTCTACCTCCAGCAATACTATGATCAACCCTTCAAAGGATGATTCAACCTTGGGCCAAAGAGGCTCAACCTTTACCAGCTACTGAAGGGTTCGCCTTCTCAGTGGATGTGGACTCAGTGGAAGAGGTAGGAACAATTTCGAAGAGGTTTGACGTCGAAGTGGATGGCTGCGGTTCTTCATAGCTTGTCCGAGAAGCTGGCAGTGGCAATGCTGTTGAGGTCCCATCATTGCTTTCTCTGGTGCTTGAGGTATCTTTGGTTGTGTGGCATGCACTGTCAACCTTGGCTTCTGGAGATGGAGAGAGAGTGACCTCAACAAAGGCCAGGAGAGCTTCAAGAAGCTGAAATGTTTCCTTGGTAGGTCCATGGCTCAATTCTTTCATGCTATTAGTCTTTACTCACCTCCTGGGTCACTAGCTCCATCCTTATTGGGGTGGAAAGATTCGTACAGGTATGCAACATCTGAAAGAAGAGAAGATGGTGGAGCTCAGCAGACCAAAGCAAGATAGCCCTCCTTATAGGTTGTGAGTGTTCCAACAGTGGAGGTTTTTAAGGAGAGATTGGACAACCATTTGCCTGAAATGGTATACGATCTCCTGCTTGAGTAGAGGGTTGGACTAGAAGACCTTCAAGGTCCCTTCCAACTCAGTTATTCCGTTATAAACTCTTACCAAGCAAATGAGTAAGTCTGATCATCCCGTTAAGCTCCAAAAGACCTTCATCCGAGCACCCCAAACCTCTGAAGGTCCCATAAACAGCCCTGATACAATAGTGTTGAACGGTAACCAAGAACTTGGTTAACTATCAACACTTCATGTTGAGCCAACATGGGTCAACGGTCAAAGGATGGGCAGACAAATTGGTACTCCCCTAGACCCTCTGGACTCCAACTCCCATTGACCACATTAACTGGGGCTGAGGAAGTGGGAGCTGAAATCCACATGCCTTAAAAGTTGCCAAAGTTGGAGGGGCCCTTTCCCTTATTGTATAAAGATGTTACAGGGGGTGGAATAAGACCCTCTTACTGTTTTCTGGATCGTATTTCCTGTAAACAATATAGATCACGTCCCCAGTTTGTAAAGGGCAGGTCTGTCTCTTCACCACTTTCTGTTTGTTGATCACTGTTCCATTCGTGCTGCAGAGGGAAGGTAAGAAATGCTATCAAGACAGAATATCTTTGTTGGCCGAGTGTGATTGGACACGCAGGGAATGTGTCTCCGGTGCAGAAGCTCTCATGGTCCACACAAGTTATAAGTGATAAATCATGACCATAATTGTCGTAAAGATGATAATGATTATCGTAAGATGGTCATCCAGTCTTCTTTTTACCGCAGCTGACCTAGGTTAATGTCGCTGCAGGTAGTCTTCAACTTACAACAGTTTGTTTAGTGGCTGTTCAAAGTTACAGAGGAACTTGATACAACAGTGGTGGGACTCATCTCCGTGTGTGTGTGTGAATCTGCCTACTGAGATGAGGTGGACCAATTGCTTTTGTGGTGTGGAGACAGTAACTTGGCCTTCAACACCCATAAGACCAAGGGGCTTATAGAAGGAACAGATCAGACTTTCATCAGCTGATCAGTGAAGACCAAGTGGACAGTTTTAAGTTTCTGGGTGTTACCCTAAAAGAGGACCTGGCCTGGGGTGCTCACGTTGCAGCCCTGGTCCAAAGGGCCCAGCAGAGATTAGACTACCTGAGACTTCTCAGAAAATAACAACTGAATGAAAAACTGCTGGTGACGTCCTCTTTTAGGGTAACACCCAGAAACTTAAAACTGGCCACTTGCTCCACTCGGTCTCCATTGATAAGCAAGGGCTGGATGTCTGATCTGTTCCTTCTATAGTCCACTATAAGCTCCTTGGTCTTATTAGTGTTGAGGACCAAGTTATTGTCTCCACATCACGAAAGCAACCGATCCACCTCATCTCGGTAGGCAGACACTCTCTCTCTCTCTCTCTCTCTCTCTCTCTCTCTCTCTCTCTCACACACACACACACACGGATGAGCAGCAGAAATGTTGGGTTCAAAATGGTGGCCATTAAGCCGAGGACTACCTGTATTAATACAAGGAAGCTCACCCAGCCAGCTCATTTCCAAAGAAAAATCAAGCCTTACAAGAGAGACACACAAGACACATTCGCTTTGACCCGAAGAACCACAGAAAAAGGATAAGAACAGGGCTGACCTGGTATCCTGTAGCAAAACCTGACCCGATTTTTCATCCATTATTATTTTACAGTGATAACCAGACACCAATTTATTGCCAGGGAAGGATAAGTCACAACCTTGGATGGAAAGAGAGAGAAGGGTAAAAAAAAAAAAGAACATTGCTAAGTTTGCTAATTTCACCCAAACATTCAACAAAGTCTCCTGCCATTTCTCCCCAATACCCCCAATTTTGCACATGATTTCATCACTGAAGTGCCGTGCGACGAGTGCAAGACTAGAGTTTGTAGCAAGAAAATATTGGATAAGGACAAAAAAAAAA